TCAGTACAACAAACATTTTATTGGGTACTTACCTTACTCTATGCCTTTCATTATGCTAAATTTTCATGGTCCTTAGAGAGAGAGCTATTTAAATGGACAATCACTCTTCAGTTTAAGGGGTACTAGACCATAACTATGTCCTGATCATCGTTGTATCCCTCGTCCCAGGCCAGTACCTGGAACATAACAACAAGACTGTTGCCATTAGCATGTACTGAGTGATAACTGTGTGCCAGGCATTGTGCTAAGCACTTTATTCTCAACATAATCCTCATGACAATTTCATGAAGTAATAGTATAATCTCAATTTTAAAGACATGGGAATTGAGGCACAAAGCAATGAAGTAACATGTCCGAAGTCACATAGCTAGTAAGGGATAGAGCCAGGATATAAATCCAAGCAGTGACTCCATCACCACTAAATATTTTTTGAATGAATGAAAAGAAGGAAGGAAAAGAGGTGGGAGAGAAAGAGAGTATGTGAATAAGTGAGCAAGCTAAAAGTCTGCTGTAGGTAGAGGGGTCCATAGGAGGGATAGGTTGGTTTTACTTGGGAGGAGAAGCAATTGGAAAAAGCTTCATAAAGGAAGTTGTGCTTAAACTGAATGTTGAAAAATGGGTAGATGTTCACTGGCCAGGGCGGAGTAAGGGAGTAGAAGCTGTAAAGAAGAGCTAAGGCTAAGCCTTCAATTTGTATACTAGATCCTTTCCCCCTCTCACTTACTCAAGGACACTCCTTCTGCAACTGTCCCATTTCTCTACTGCATTTTCTTATGCTAGCCAGCTTATGTTGTTAGCTGCCACGCACAATGAAACGAAATGCTGCCCAGTCCTGCACCATGCCTGTGATTGGTTGTAGATCGGACCATTGGATCTATAGGGTTTTCATTGGCTGATTTGTGGAAGCAGATCACCAGACTTTTCTTCCTAGTCCATCTTAGTCTGGAAGCTCCACTGAAACTTATTCCGCATCATAGCAACACGCAAGCCTCCACTGACCAAAGGGTGATGGCTGTGGCTGCACATGAGGTGCATTGGCTAGGAATTGAACCCAGGTCTCCCACATGAAAGGCGAGAATTATACCTTTGAACCACTACTGCCCCAATAACCAGCTTATAAACATACTAAAGTATTTCCTAATCTTAAAAACACTACCTTTTCCCTGCTTCCCCCCGCCAGGTATTACCGCATTTCTGTCTCCTTTTATAGCAAAACTCCTCAAAAAAGTAGTCTAATTCCATGATTCCAACTCCTCTATTTTCTCTTAGTGAAATCAGAGTTTCACCACCACACTACAGTGAAACAGCTCTCATCAAGGTTAGCAGTGACCTCCACATTACCCAACACAGCTGTCAATTCTCCGGCCATAACACACCATACCAGAGCCACCTGCCATGTTTGATGCAGTTGGTCACTGCATCCTTCTTGAGATACCTTCTTCCCTTGGCAGCTGGGACATCACACTCTCTCCTGATTGTTTTTCTGTCTCACCGCCTGCTCCTTTCAGCCTCCTGCAGTGCTACTCCTCATCTCCCAAATGTCGATCCTCCTAAAGCACACATCGGGTATGACACTTTTCCACTGAAAGTCATTTGGTGTCTCTCCTTTATGATGGAGTCCCAACTTTTGCCAAGAGTCCACAGCCTCCAGGATCTGGCTGCCTCTGCCACCTCATCTTGTACGTAACGTGTATAGTGCTTTAGAGGACAGCAGCTCCTCCAACTTTGTTTTCTCATCAAATCCTCACAAGATCTCTAGGAATTAAACGATTTCTATTTGCAGATGAGGAAGCTGAGAATCAGATTTTCTATTACTTGCCCGAGGTCACAAAGCTTGTTTGTGTCTCCATGATCCTTTCTGATTCCAGAGCCTCTGCTCTTTACATTTTCAGTCCATTGCCTGACCTGGTTCCTTAAAATCATTGCTCCTGAGTGAAGCAGGGGGTGGATGTCTGGTTCTTCCTTTTGGGTTCCAGTCTGTCCATCTGGATTTCCTCTTGAGAGTGCAGTGTTTTCCAGTCTTCACCCCAGGGCCTTAGGAGTCAAGTTTGCAGGACAATGGGCACTCTTACTGGTTGAAATGCTAAGTCTCCCAAAATGAAAGACCAGCTGCAGTGTGGGAGAAGAACAAGGGCTGAATGATTTGATCAGATGTCTGTGGGGGCCTCCTGGCATTTAGAGTGTGAGTGCCTTAGAGAAACTAACTATTCTGGCCTGAGGGGTTGGCTGCTGTTAATCCTGGTAGTTTTGACCCGCTAACTGCCCCAGAGGTCCCAGGCTACTGTATGACTCAGAATCTCTAACACTCCCTCTATTCATCTCTCACTGGGATAGTCAGGAGGCCATTTCTAAGGCATTTTAATTTGGTAATGACTTCTCTTGCCTTTGCCTTTCCTGCTGAGTTCTGGCTTCCCTGTGCCCCAGCTTGCCCCTTGGACCCTGGACTGTCCCACTGCCCTTGTTCTTGAAGCATCTTGCCAAAAGTTGACGGTGTAAACTAGAGAGAGGAAAGATGTGGCCACAGGTTTGCCTGTTGGTGTACATTTACTTCTGCAATTCACTGTGTTAAGAAAGGTGGCTGTCGTCTTTTCTTCAACTTTTTTATCCAGAAAGAACATAGGAATCCACAATACAAGACAGGCAAGCAGATGGTGGGGACTGGGAGACAAAGATATTTTGTTGTTGTGTGCCACTGAGTCGATTCCAACACATGGCGACCCTATAGGACAGAGTGGAACTGCCCCATAGGGTTTCCTAGGCTATAATCTTTACAGGAGCAGATAGCCAGGTCTTTTCTCCCACGGAGCTGCTGGTGGGTTTAACCGCTGACCTTTCGGTTAGCAGCCTAGCACTTAACCACTGTGCCACCAGGGCTCCTTACAAAGATATGAGAAGACTCAAAATGCCTCACCATTTATCTATATACTTTCAGAAAGCTGGGTAAAGCCTTCTTGACCTCTTCTAGACCATCTGTGAATGTGTTGACTGCTCTTGTGCTATCATTTGGACTCTGCATACCTCTGTGATAGCACTTACTGTGAGCCATGCTGGTGGTAGTGTCATGTTAAGAGCTTCTGCTCTGGTATAGAGAGAAATGGGTTCAAATCCAATATCTACTGCTTACTAGCTGTATGACCCTGGATAAGTCTCTGCATTGTTCTGAGCCTCATGTGTAAATTAACAATTAATAACACTTACAGTGCTATTGAGGAGTAATTGAAAAATCTATAATCTTTTCATCTCTGCCTAGTCCAAAAGCAGCTAGTAAGTTCAGTAATTGCACTGAAGTTTATATTTCATTTCTAAAATACAGTTGTTTACCTAAGAAAACCCTTGTTACTCTCTTGTTAAAACCTTTGACGGTCTTTTGCCTACCAAATAGTCCCCCGCCCCGCACCTTGACCTGTCACTCAGCATTTGCATTTGTATTTGCATTTCAGGCTTTGAATTTTACTGGCAGGGAAGGCTTTAAAATGCAGATTTCTAGAACAAATTGCACATGGGTGTAGATGAGTTTGTCTGAACTAATGAGCAATTACTCTACAAGGCCCTGGGCTAGACACACAGGGACACCTGGGTGAATTAGACAGGACACAGGATAGCAGTGACATTGTCATTTCTGACTATCCAGTATAGGTGTCACCCCCACCCCACACCCACCCCACCCAGTCCTTGCAGAAGGCAGCCCTGAGAGAAGACTTGCCAGAGGGCCCCAGCACAGTGGAACAGCTGGGCATCTGAGCGTTGGCAGCGGGCCCAAGGGTGGAGGCGGAGAGGTTGGGACTCGGAACTGGCAGCCAGCCAGGGCTCACTCAGGTGCCCCAGAATGCAGGGCCTCCAGCCTGGCAGTCACTGAGCCCAGTCACTGACTATATCCTGATCTTCACTTGTGGTTTTCTCTAGGCTGCATAGGGCAGAGACTTTGGTGGAAGAGCAGTGACCTCAGCCCTACATTGAACGCATAAGACATTGAAACCCAGAGGCATGAGGTGACATGACTAGTCACACAGCAACAAAGGAAGAGCTAGAACACAAGTCTTCTAAACAATATTCAGCAGCCTCTGTCATGTGGGTTCCTGAGATCGTCCTGTCTGCAGGTCAGAGTGCAGTGAGACTGTCAGGGCTGGGTTGTTCCTTCAGAAAACAATAGGGGTCTTCTGAGTGCCCATCTCTGACAAGGTACCGAGGTGCACAGTTAAATCAGACTGACTTTGACCTCAGAAACTGACAGTATAATAGGTAGACATGCTACCAACAATTACAGTGTGGTGAGTGCTGATTGGGGTAAGCATGTGATGTGGGGGTGGGGACGGACTGTGGGAGCAGAGAGGAGGCACTTGGCTCAGTCTGGGGGTGAAGGAAGAAATGCCAGTGAAGTTGTGAAGGACCAGTGGGCATTAGCCAGCTAGAGGACAAGGAAGTACATTCCAGGCAGAGAAACAGTAGAGCAGGAGGACATCCTCAGTTAAATGTCTAACGGTTGTATTAATAGCCCTAATAATACACATACCTTGTGTCTATTTTCAGGGCACTTTGAATGGTTCCACCTGATTGGATCATAGTGTGTTGGGAGAGAATAGAAGCTGATGAGGCTGGACGTGTAGGATCATACTGGGAAGGTTGAAAGCATAGTACCCAGTACTTTACCAAAGCCTGAGCAGCTCTCTTCTGCAGGTCTCTAAGCTCTATCTCCCCATCTAGGAGCCTGGATAGAGTTCCTGATTTCCTTGACATCAGGCTTGCTGCAAATACTCTATGTGAAACCCAGTGAGTTCCTTTTACCACATTCTGCTGAGGAGCTTTGCTTACTTATCTACCTATTCCTTTAGGGTTTTTTTTTTTTTTTCCCCCCAAACCTTGATGTGGAAAAAGGCCTGAAGTGCTGATTATAGGGAATGAAGCTTTATTTAAGGTTTAAACACCTACAACTCTTCATGAATTAATAACCCACTGAATGTTCAGTGCCTTACAAGCTGTGACTTTTCCTTCTCTTCCCATAGGCCTGCTGAGTTAGCCACCAAGTATGCAAACTTTTCAGAAGGAGCTTGTAAGCCCGGCTATGCTTCAGCCTTGATGACCGCCATCTTCCCCCGGTAAGTACTTCTGTTTCTTCTACTGCCTAAACAGCCTGGTCCACAGCCCAATGAGGGTCTCCTGCCCCTCACTGCAAGTGATGTTCTCCTGAGAAAACAGATTCTGTTGTGACTTCCTTCCTGTATCCTAGAGTCAATGGGTGCCTGGAAAGTACTTTGTTTTTAGTTGTTCCTATCCCAGTTCCACTCTCTGCCCCTGCTACACCTACCCCTCAGTCCTCCCTCTTGGAGCTTGAACCTGCCAGCACAGCTTGTTTCAGTGGAGGGGAGGGAGGAGGTCAAACCTAAGTGGTTGCCCCATGGAAGCCAGGTGTCTAGAGGCAGCCAGACAAGGCAGTCCAGCACAGAAGTTCCAAGTCATAGTATCAGTGGCCAAACAAACTTTTTTGGAAGCTAGAGACCAACTAGCTGACTTCCAGGAGGCATATCCAAATAAAGCAAGGAACAAAGAGGACTTTCTGAGGTTGTCTGAGTTTTAGCACCTTTCCAGTTACCCATTTTGCATCCTGGAGTTCCTGATTTTCTTAGTGTCAGGCTTGCTGCGAAGAGTCTATGCCAAACCAAGGGAATTCCTTTTACCAAATTCTGCTAAAGGGCCTAGGAGGCCCTTTATCCACCTTTTCCTTTAGGGTTTTATTTTCCTAAAGCCTTGGTCTGAAAAAAAGCCCAAAGGGCTGAGATTGTCTTGTCTGCAGTCTGGAGTGCAGTAAGACTGTCAGTGTCATTTTGTTCCTTTAGAAAGTTACAGGAACTTCTGACTTGGAGTGGCTGGAGGAAAGGCTGAGCAGAACCCTCTGTGAGTTGGGATGTAGCACTTGGACCACCAGAGGAGCTGTGAACTCCTAGGGGTAGCCTCTAGGGTTGAGCTCTGCTCACTGGATGGAAGGCTTGTATCCTATCCCTTAGAAGGCTAAAAATTAGGGCACATAATGTGCTTGCAAAGGAGTGCTGAGAAATAGCTTGCCCGAAAGTAAATCCAGGGTATTTGGTTTTTACACTCTTTTCCTTTTTCTAACTTTAGCGATCCAACTTACCTCCTTGTGTAAAAGCAGGGACTATGTTAATTGAGTATCTGATGTTCAAATCAAGATTTCTTTGTGTAGGGTCTGCCTTCTGAATTGACTCCAAATATTTTGCTTTCTCCAGCTATTTATTGAGCACCTCTAAAGTGTCTGGCACTGTGTTCTATATTCTAATAAATGTTTTTGAAGAAAATTAAAACAAGTACACGAGAGCCAAAGTATGACCTTGAGTATATCTCACCTGAATTTAGAGACCATCTCAAGAATAGGTTTGGCACACTGAACATTAATGTCTGAAGACCAGACGAGTTGTGGGATGACATCAAGGAAACCATACATGAAGAAAGCAAAAAGGTCATTAAAAAGACAGGAAAGAAAGAAAAGACCAAAATGGATGTCAGAAGAGACTCTGAAACTTGCTCTTGAACA